GGGTTGGGCCCTTTTGTGGGTGGCCGTGGGTAGGTGTTCGCGGGGGTGGAAGGTTTTCGTGGGTCTAGGTTCTGGGTTGTTGGTGTTTGTGGAGGTGGCGGTGGGGTGGGTACGGTGTTCGTGGAGGGAGGTGGGTGGGTACGGTGTTCGTGGGCCTGCCGATCTGGGTTCTGGTGGGTGGGTGGTCGTGAAGGCGGGTGAATTCGGTGTTCGTGGAGGGAGGTGGGTGGGTGGTTGTTCTTTGATTTTAATTTTTTTTTCTGTTTTTTTCTTTAAAAAAAAAACAAATTGGACCACTCAACTGGCGACACGTGTCCAGCAACCTACAATAGAAGGTTGTTGACTTGTGTTGCGGTTTGGGTATGAAGAATGAAAGCTCATATCAAAGTTGGGATTATTGCAGAATATTCCAAAGTTGGGATTAATAAAATGAAATTGTGCAAAGTTGGGATTAATAAATGCAATTTTTCCATTAAATTATACCATAACTTGCACACAATCTTGAATTGTAACAGAGATTTTGCAGGCAACCGTAAGAGAATATCAACAAGTTAGGGTTTATAATGCATATTCAATATAATGCAATTCAAATTAGGGTTTATGAGACACTAATTAATCGTGAAAATATACAAATCTAGGGTTAATATGATTTAAACTAACATAGAAATTCATAGTAAGAGAAACTAAGAGGGAAAGATTACCAAAAATCTGGAAAATAGGATTAAAGGAAGATTTGGATGACAATTTAGGAGAGAGAAGAAATCTACCATGAATTGAAGAGAGAGTAATTTGGAGTATCGCTCCACTCGCCTTTATTCTTGATTGATTTACCCACTCTTCTTCAATTGTGACTTGTTTAGTTGTTTTCATAGTCTGCTTATGTCATGTCCAATTGTTTCAAAAAAAAAATGTTCAATTCATGGTTGTTTTTTTTTTTAATTTTATTTTTTTGTTGCACTAACGGGGCAAGCCTAGGGGTGTTTATGAGACAAGACAACTTATGAGCTACTCGGGTTCGACTCGGTCAAAACTCGACTCGAGTGAGCTTGACTCGAGCTCGAGATTAACTCGAAATGTTAATGAGTCGAATAGTTCATACTCGACTCGAAAGCTCTAAGAAGCTCGACTATATTATATTTACTAAAAATTGAAATATTTTGATTAAAAAAAACTTTATTTTTACATTAATAATGAATAAATAAACATTGTTTATGTACTCATATCATCATATATATATTTCTCATATGACAAAATTAAAGAAAATGAAGAAATGTTACACTAAAAAGAGAGTTCTACTAAGATTGATCAAATTGCAAGCTAAGCTACTCGAGTCAGCTCGACTCGGTCAAATTTAGTCAAAGCTCGACTCGGTCAAAGTTCGGTCAAAACTCGACTCGGTCAAATTTTTGAAAGACATTACTAGAAAACAGGCCATTTTCGACGGGAAAATTCCATCGAAAAAACCGTTTCCGACGAAATTTCCGTCGGAAAAGGTTTTGTAGGAAAAATGACCTTTTCCGACGGAATTGTTTCGTCGGAAATTTCTGTTGGACACAAATCCGTCGGAAACTGATTTAATGAAATTAAAAAAAAAAAAACACGCCGCGCCACCACCGGCATGGCGTATCACCACCTCAGAACACCACCACCGAACCCTAACCGAAAACTCACCCAAATCCACCAACCACCTTAACCCACCAGTGGCAACACCTTAACCCTGAACCCACCCACCTAACCTTAACCCACCACCTTAATCCACCTAACCCGAACCCACCCACCACCTTAACCCACCTAACCCTAAACCCTAACCCAAACCCACCCACCAAACCAACCACCTTAACCAACCTAACCCCAACCCACCTAACTAACCCAAATCTATCATCTAAACCCACCTAATTCGAACCCACCCACCTTAAACCACCCAATTAACCCAGATCTATCACCTAAACCCACCTAAACAAAACCCAGAACTATCACCCTAACCTTACCTATTTCGACCAACTACCCACCAAAAACCACCCACAACCGCCCAAAACCACAACCACAACCTGAAACTTAACGAAACAATTTGTAAAAAAAATTATAGAAAAAAAAAAAAACAACATACCTTTAAAATCGAATTTTGCTTTGAATGTGATGCGGAACTTAAGGTTGGGTTAGGTGTTTCGACTAATGGGTCAAGTGTTTAGGAAAGGTGTTTAGGTGGTTTAGTGTTTCGGTTTAGTGTTTAGGCCAAGGTAAGCTAGGCTAGAGTTTGTGTGGGATATGACTAAGGCAAGCAACTAGCTCACGTGAATGAACTAGCTTGGGGATAAGCGTAGCTAGAGTTGAACACTCACTCTACTAGCCACGAAAAACAAGCTCACTCCGAACACTCTGAGTAAAGCTCACAAACCCGAGTCCACGAGTTCAAGTAACTTGAGTCCACAAGTTAAAATAAGAAATAACACAAAGTATATTTCTAGTTTAATGATTTTCATTCAAGATAAGATGATTACAACCTAGAATAAAACTTCCTTTTATAGCCTAAGAAAGTAGCTTACATTGATCATCTACTTAGCTAATTTAATTAACTAACTTAAGTGGAGCACACCAAAAGCCGTCATATTGAGCAGCCCTTCATGTGTAACGGTCCCATGAAAGTCGTTGCACATTGAAGGCTTCATTAAGCTGCAAACGCTGACTGCCTGTTGCAGTTAATAGGCAGCGGTTTTTAAGGAAAACCGTTGCTAATGCATTGAATAGGCAGCGGTTCTTAAGGGAAACCGCTGCAAATTCCGAAAGCACTCCTCATTGTAGCGGTTTGCGGTTACAAGCTCTTATTACATCAATTAAGTTCAACTAATTAAGCTCTAATAAACTGATGATTTAAATAGCTAATTAACAAGGAATACAAGGCAAAATTATCACTACTATTACACTTAAAAGTGGCGCCCAACAAGAGTGTAACACCCTCATTAAAACCTCCAACAAATACATGTAACCTCCAATCTTCATTGCCTTTTTTGATGCCTTCAAATCTTGCTTGTGGACTGATAAGGAATAAGAGAATATGCCCTCTCTATGTTAAGCTTACACGCACAAGAATCCAAGGCAAAGATGCCTTGCTTATTCTTCCATCCAAGTCACGCATGACTTGATCAAGGATGGAACTATGTTGAATCCTATGCGTGGAGCATTGGATACTTTAGACCCATGAATGAACAACCCATGGACAAGAGGAACTTGACTTTGTTGGACCCTAGACCGTGTATTTGGACCCTTTGAACCATTAGGCTCATACGGTTGCACAAGGTCTTGGTCAAGGAACAATTCCGGATCAGAATGTCACCTCGAATTTGGTTTAATATGGCCAAATTCGACCATGAAGATCTAGAGGTTTCATGGTCGAATTTGACCTAAATAACCATTACTTTCTGGAGAACACCGCACCTCCACGCGTCGTCGGCGAGAAAAAAGATCAAATTGGCGTTGTGACCCAACCCCTCGCCGGCGACAAAGAAAAGAGAATAAATAAAGGGAAGGAAAAGAGGAAAGAGAAGGAGAAGAGCAGCAGAAACGAAGGAGAAAAGGAGAGTGAAAGAGAAAGAGAAGAGAAAAGAATAAGGAGAGGAACAGAGAACGAAGGAGAAAGAGGAGAAGAGGGGAGAAGAGGAGAAGAGGGGAGAAAAGGAGAAGAGGAGAGAAGAAAGAGAGGCAGAAAGGAAATAGAAGGGGGACCCGGGTTTTATTTTTTTTTTAATTATATTCCGACGGAAAATTCCGTTGGAAAGCACATATATTCTGACGGAATTTAAATCCGTCGGAAATTTTCGACGGATTTGTTGAATTCGTCGAAAATATCCGACGGAACATAAATCGGTCGGAAATTTTGCTTTTTTCGACGGAATTTCGTGTCCTTCAGAACAAGTCCGTCGGAATTTGCCTGTTTTCTAGTAGTGTTTATCAGGTGTCCAAGAGACATGAATCAAAGATTTCAAGATGCAATGGCATTAGTTACACATTATGGAAAACCAAACCTTTTTTTGACAATGTCATGCAAACCATCGTGGAGAGAAATTGTAGATGAGTTATTGCCAGGTCAAACAGCACAAGATCGTCCCGACTTGATCACCAGAATATTCCATGTAGAATTTGAGGAATTCAAGATGGACGTTGTGGAAAAAGGCGCTCTTAGGAAGGTTATTGCCTATGTCTATGTCATTGAGTTTCAAAAAAAAGAGGCTTGCCACATGTTCACATGCTGCTCATTTTGGACGAAAAAGACAAACCAAAATCTCCGGAAGAGTATGACACATTTGTGAGAGCCGAGATACCTGATAGAGATGAAGAACCACGATTATACGAAGCTGTTTTGAAGCATATGATCCACAATAAATCCGTGTGGTGAAGGTCGTCGAAATTCTTCTTGCATGGAAATGGAGTTTGTAAACGTAAACTTCCTAAACCCTTTACAGCAAGCACAGTCCAAGGCAAGAACTCATATCCTATCTATCGTCGTCGTGGTGATCGTCCGCCAGTACCTTTACATGAGAAAAGTGCAACCTTCGTTGATAATGGTTGGGTTATTCCATATAATTCATGGTTGCTACTAAAATATGAATGTCATATCAACATAGATATCTATAGTAGCATCAAGAGCGTCAAATATTTGTACAAGTATGTGCATAAGGGTGTAGATCGTGTTTAAATGGAAGTTTGAGCAGGGGCTAAATACAATGAGATTCAACAATATGTGGATGCTAGGTGGGTATGTGCACCTGAAGCATTATGAAGGATATATCAGTTTCCCATTACTTGAATGTGTCCATATGTTGATCGATTACAACTACATTTGCAAGATAGCCAAATGGTTAGATTTTGTACAAATCAATCTATTGAAGACATCCTTCAAATGCCACAAAACTCTCGAACTATGCTCACAAAGTTCTTCAAGATAATTCCTTAGATCCTGCAAAGGCAAGAACATACCTATATTGAGAATTTCCTCAACGTTATCGATGGCTGACAGCTACAAAGACATGGAGAAAAAGGAGGAGTACACAAGGAGTGATAGGTAGAATCAACACAACCTCACCAATAGAAGGAGAAAGATTTTTCTTGCATTTATTGTTGGATCATATTAAAGGACCCAAATCATTTGAGCATCTACGAACTGTCAATGGAATGGTTATTCTACTTTTAGAGAAGCAGCTGAAAAACTAGGTCTTATGGAGAATGATGCAAGCATTCGTGATTGTTTGCATGAAGCATCAAACTCTAAAATGCCATCATCATTTAGAAGATTGTTTATCACGTTGTTGGTTTATTGTCAACCAACTGGGGTTCGATCTCTATGGGATGAATTTTATCATTACATGGCTGAAGACTACTTATATTCAACTTCAACAAATTCAGATCTGGTATGTGATTCAGTTCTCTATGACATCGATCGCATGTTAAAACAATTAGGTAAGAGTGTCAATGACTTGGACTTACCAAAAATAAACATGTGATTGGATGGAAAAGCACAAGTAGCTAGAGCCATACATGATGAATTATCAGCACCAGTATCTTTTAAAGATGTACATTGTGCCGAGCATCTTAATGACGACCAACAGTCTTCATTTGATATCATTGTGGAAACTATTGATGTAGAGAATGGTCGAATTTTCTTTATAGATGGTCCAGGTGGGACAGGTAAGACTTATCTATATCGAACCATACTTGCAACAGTCAAGCTTAAAAGGAAATTTGGATTACCGGTAGCCAGCTCAGGTATTGGTGCCACACTATTACATCGAGGAAAAACCGCTCATAACACTCTTGGTATTCCGGTACGCTGCATGCTTCGTCAACTTGGAAGTTTAGTAAACAAGATGGAACAATTGGTCAAGTATGCAGCTGCCATAATATGGGATGAAGCAACAACGACTCATCGACATGCGTATGAAGCAAATGATCGTAGTTTAAGAGATCTAACAGGGGTTGATGTTCCATTTGGCGGCAAGGTCGTAGTGTTTGGTGGAGATTTTATACAAATTTTACCCGTTGTACCAAAAGGAACAAAGGCTCAAACTATAGATGCGTGTTTGGTCAGGTCAACACTATGGAGACATGTTCAGCTACTTCATCTCACTCAAAATATGAAATCAATACATGATCCAGAATTTGCAGCTTTTCTTTTAAGAGTTGGAGATGGATGTGAGCCTACAGTTGATGAAGACGTGATAAAGTTACCATATTCAATATGTGTAGGAAATGGTGATCAAATTACAGTTGATAATCTAATCCATCAAATATTCCCAAACCTAACTGAGTACGTAGGTGATGTGTCATACATGGTACACAAAGCCATTATAACTCTAACAAATGATGAAGTTGACATGATGAATGAGAAGATACTTAAAGAGTTTGTCGGAGAAGAAAAAATCTACTACTCATGTGACTCATTCCAGAAGATCGTCAAAATCTCTATTAACAGGAGTTCTTGAATTCATTATCCTTTGGTGTTTTGCCACCACATATTCTTAAGCTGAAAGTTGGCTCGCCAATCATGCTTATGAGAAATATTGATACAAGTAGTGGATTGTGTAATGGGACAAGGTTAATATGTAGTCGGTTAAGGGATCATGTGATTAAGGCTGAAATTTTGACCAGAAGTCATAAAGGGACACGAGTGTTCATTCCACGTATGCCTTTAAAGTGGCAGAAGATGTGAAGTTGCCATTTGAAATGATCCGAAAACAATTTCCTGTGAAATTATGTTTTTCTTTGACCATAAACAAATCGCAAGGGCAAACCATTCCTCATGTCGGTATATATCTCCCCCAACATGTTTTCAGCCATGGACAGTTATATGTTGCACTATCGAGAGGACCTCACAAGAAACAATAAGAATTTTGGTTAGCAAAAGAGATATTCGAGTTAGATGTGGTGTATTTACAAAAAACGTAGTTTAAAAAGAAGTCCTCCTGCCTCATTTGCCACAACCCTAATTATCAGGTATTATCATAAATATTAACCATGCATTTGTAACTTCCATAATCATAATTCATAAACATCTATATTATACATGCATACATAGCTTCTTAAGTCATCGTAGACACCTGATTGTGTCTCCCCAATAACCAAACCTAGTGATGAGTACCTTTCATGTCTTTGATTATCGAGTTAGGTGAAGAGTTGAAGTGTCTCATGGATTTCCCTTAAGCCTTGACAATTTCTAACCTTTCCTAAAAATGTATTAATCCAAAATCATTTATTTCGTGACTTTAAACCCAAAATAATTCATTTCGTGTCTTGAAAATCATTTATTTCGTGTCCTCTTTCTAAAAACGGTCCAAACCTGTTTATTTTGGTCCATAATCTGGGTTCAATAATTGTTTAGTTGGATGGGGCTTGAAAATATCTTTCCAACGATGTATTATAAGCCCAAATCTGAGTTATAACGAGGAAGTTATGACCAAAATACTAAACCAAGCCCAAACCGGACTTAGGTCCGTCTTACCTACGACCCAGTGATCATGTGGAGGGTTCATTAACCTTAATCCCAATCCTAAACCAATAAGGATTTATTAGGAGCTTCTAAAGGTTTCTAGAAGGTTCTAATCTATCCTTTTCGAAAGATAAAGATCAAGAGTTTGAAATTGAATAAAACTCCTCTTATTGATAATCCTTGTTCCATTCAAATTTAAAGACAGTCAGATATTATTTCCGTGTCTCATAATTTTTATCCAAATCTTGTATTAATGGATATCCCTTGAAATTATCTTTCTAATGATATATTATAATACCAATTCCGAGCTATAACGAACAAGATAGGAATGAAATACCAAACTCTATCCAAAACTGACACCGTCCTACTATTTCGATCATATCTTTCATTCTACAAATGATTTTAATCTGATTCCAATTGGGTTGAAAAGTAGACTTCAGAGATTTCCAAGAAATATTATTTATCTTATTCCGGATTCTGGATCAAAAGTTATGATAAAAACAAAAACCGCAAAAACTGTTTTTTATCGCGCCGCGATAAAAGGAGCTTTATTCCGATTCGAATTTTGACTCTTTTTTTATCCTTCGACTCTCTTTTTTCTCTATGAATAGAGGTAGTTTTCTCCCTTTTTCAATCATCAACAAGCTTGATTACCAACAATCATCATCTAATCCTCTCTATAAGATACAAGCTTTTCTCCCTCTCTTTCTTAGCCTTAGCCTTCACACATCACACACCATACGTCCTTTGCAAGACTTAAATACTCCAAGCCCTTCTCGAAGTTGCCTTCGACCTCGACATGAAAGGTTGATATTTCTGAGGGTTTGGTCCCAAATCTATATTTCAATTATTCTTATTTGATTTAATCTTTCTTAATGTTACTAACGTTTGTATTGTTTTAATAGAAAAAAATACGAGGCATCAAAGTTAGTAGATCTACTATTCCTCTCTTTTGTTTTAGAAATCATGCTTAGAATATTATTTTAATTCCTAGTATCATTTTAGAATGCTTAATTGATATTTCTAATATTATTATGCTTGCTAGTATCATGTTTAGAGTGTTAGCTAATATTTCTAATATCATGCTTCCTAGTATCATGTTTTGGTAAAGCTCTGATTTTTAATGTTTAGTGACATGCTAGGATTTGTTATTAATCTGTTTAGTATCATGCCTAGGATCTTGCTAATATTATTTTTTGAGAATTTTATTATGATGATGATTGTTGTGTCAAGATACATAAAGTTTTACGTAATTTGTTAATTTACGAATAATTTATATATAATTTGTTAATATGTTTCATTATTTATTGCTATTTCTTTATCACACCCTTTTCTGCAGGTTTAAAGGGGAATTTGTACTTGAAATCACGCCTAATAAGATAATTAATAATTTGATTTAGTATGATTTTAATTCAAGTGATCGCCAATAATAGATTTATTTGTGCATTAATAATCAACCAATATAGATTATACATGTTTAGGGCTAACTTGTTGTAAGTATGTTGATCGGAAAACGCACATGAATATCATAAGAATTAAGTAGAGGTCGATTTAAGGCGGGTTCAATCTCTTTTAGGTTGGATTCTTACCATAATCCCTGAATATCAACATGGTTTTGGACCACTATGGAGTTAGCGACCTCCGTGGCCGTGAATGGGGTGTAACCTTCACACTCGTGAACGGTTTACAAGTTCCTAAAACTTGTTGGCGACTCTTTTATCTCTAGCTTCTTTCCCTTTGGGCGCCACCATGCTTAAATGCATGATCACTGTGGGGCTCAAAGTTGATGTTTGAAATATTCACTACAATTTTTTGGCGACTCCACTGGGGAGGATTTCTAATTTTGATTCCTAAAATTTATTTTGGCAATTGACTTTAGAATGAGTGGATGAGACTTGAAAAATTCTGGATCTTCATTGTGAGTAATTTTGATTAACATTGTGGCATAAGCATAAAAAGGTCCGCATTGGAAAGACCATCCGAAATGTGTTAGAAACATAGGATTTTTACAAAAAGGAAAATTGGGAAGGAAAAATTGCTTTAAATAATACGAACTTTAGCCCGTCCGCTAAAAACAAGTCCAACTTTTGATTATCCCAGAATAATACCACCTTTGGGGGGTGTCCGCTTTAAACAGGTTATTTTACCTACAACCTGAGTAACCGGTTATTTTTTTTTTCTTTTTAAGAAATTCATTTAACAATGTAATTAATCTTAATAACAACTTTAATTATGATTTTATTAACAATTAAATCAAAAAACAAATTAAAAAAAAAAAAAAAATCAGCCCCCTTCTTCTTCCCCCTGACCTCCTCCTGCCCCTGCCACCCATCACCCTCCTCCCTTACCACCACTCCCCTACCACAACATTCTTATCCTACACACAGCCACCTCGCATAGCAGTTACCCCTGCTTTTCTCACCCCTGTCAACTCCGCAACACACTGAAACAGAGCCACCAACAGCCCCTACGACCTGCACCAACCCGCACAACAATCCACAGCATCTCCAATAGCCCCACCTACCCTCACCATCAACCGCCTCTCCTACTCAACAAATCGCACAACCAAAACACTCCCCTGCTCCCTCGATTTCCCCACCTTTGCACACTCAAATCAACACCATCAGCAACCCAATTACAGCAAAACAACAACAACTTAACACACCACGCAACGCAGCAGCGAGCTCCGGCAAGCAGAGCCTAACCGCAACCACCAACAGCCATCGCAGCACCACCAATTAGCAACAAGTTCTTCGGAGCCTCGCAATTCACCCACAAAACCCCCATTTTAGCTAAATCAATTATCATCCCACCGTCTTGCTTTGATGGGGCTTGAGATTGCTTCATTAGTCCATATAAAACTTCAGCGACCTCAATTTCAATGGCGTCTTGTGTCTGTTAGACATTTAGAGTGTTGATGGTTGCGCGCTCGCGCACCATGAAGAGCGCCCGCGCAAGATAGGCGCGGCCGCGCAGAGAGTGCGCCTAAAGCGCGTACCTCTCTGGAAATTGGAACTTTGGAAGGGCAAGATTGGCACGCCCGTGCGTCTGGTGGCACGCCCGCGCTGCTGGTCGCGCCTAAACCGCGCCCTCTTCTGCCATTGTGTGGAAATTTCGCAGTTTTGGTAGGAGCGCCCGCTCCACCTTGAGGCGCGCTCGCGCCACTTGGTTTTGCGGTTTTTTCCTGACGGTTGAGTCTATTATTATAAGACTTGGTTTTTTCGAACAAAAAAAAAGATATAGAATATTTTTCTCTGATATTTCTCCCTAAGTAATCTCCATAATTTCTCTCAAAATTCTTGCAAACTTTTGTGAGAAATACTCTTGATTTTTAGCCTTCTTTGTGAATCATTCATCTTTATTTCGATTCTTTGTGCTAAGAACGAAAGGGTTGTCAATTGTATCTCAAAGAGAATTTTCGGAATAACCCAAGCACCGTGTGGGGGAAATTAATCTCTTTAGGAAAGTGTATACACGCCTTTGACAGTGTATCAAGGTCGTAGTCTCAAGGAACATTGGAATTCTCATGTTCATGCGTTGTTTGTACGGCTTGGAGTTAAGGCAAGTTAGATTACCTTCACATTAGTGTTTACTTTAGAAATTTTCTGTAATTTCTTAGTTATTAATACTTGATTGAAATACTTTTTAAGTATTTGTTGAATTACATTACATTATCATTTTGTAATTGTATTTCTTAGGTTTTGTTCCTTCACAATTTTAATTGTTTCATTAGTTTGAAATCGCTGTAAAACCTAACAGTGTCGACGGCGATGATTTCGAAGACGATTTTGGTGGTCGTTGTTGTTTCGGTCCATTAGCCGCCTTCTACACCAGAATAGAACATAGTCAAATCCACAGAAACACATACAAACATCACTGGAGAAGAAGGGGATGGATTTGGGTTGGCTGGGGTTGGGACGCCGGCAGTGGCAGTGGTGGTGGTGGTGGGGCTGGTTTACAGTTAGGGATTGGTTTTTTTTTTTAATTTTCTTTTTT